TAGATAGATGGATAGAAGATAGATAGGTAGATGTATATGTATATATATATATATTATATATAGAGAGAGATTGAAAGAAAGTAAGATAGATATATATATAGATAGAGTACATAGTTCCCACTTACTTCAATAGCCTATTAAATAATTCTCTTTGTAGGTATAACCAACCCCAACGACCACTACGCGATCTGACGTGATCGTATGCCACAATGAGAGCAATGATATGTCATTACAGCTTTACATCTATCAAGGCCAGAGGAAATGTCAGGAATAAATTCATGTAATTCCTGTCACCATCACATGATATCGAACAACTGCCACCACACAGTAAAAATGTTGTCAGGTGTTGTTCAGTAATAACTTGAGATGGGAATTTTCTGTCAATAGCCAGCGGGCTGGTGATAAATATATATTACGGACATAAAACGCTCAGTCTAAATGCAATTGCGTCGAAATTTGCGGGCATTTGAGACGCTGTCAAGCAATGAATTTATTATCGTCCGTTTGGATTATTAGAGAATTACGTAGCGTATTTTTACAATACGATTTGCATGTGTTCCAGCAAGTGTTAAACAGAATTTGTTGTGTCACGTGATATTTCACATAACCGAATACAATGAGTGATCACGTGTGATAATTTAATCGTCAGTAGTTGAGACAATATGAATTATTTGAATTTCAATGGCATTATTTTAGAGAAACAAACAGAACCGCAACTAATTTACCGACAGATGGTACACTTGCCGCCTTTACGCTAATTTCGGTTGCAGTTTAAAATTTATAAAGGTTTGTTACACATAGAAAACTGCTTTGAGGATCGGATAAATTAATTTTACGCATCTCACTTAGCTCCATGTCTATGAACACTGAAGAAAGTGTTCATTCAGGAGGCGGAGTGCTAGGCTAAACCTTCGTAGAGACAATCCCATGCACCTAAATCATATAATACCAACACACAAAAACAATGACAATTGCTATTTACGATGTTACAGATAAATTATTCTATTAATGAATATATCCTTGATAGTTTTGTGTCTATCAGTCATCAATTGTCTCGATCACCCACGCCCTCTCTCGTTCTTTCTCTCCCCACTCTACGACGCAAAAAGTAAAGCCATGCGGGCGACACAGTTCGTCATGTTCCACACTGTAAACACCACGCGATTCAACAAATAGCTACAAGCAGAATTTACTCCTCCGGCTCCATCTGATAAATTGAATAGCTTTCCCAATACTAAGTAATTGTACCAATAGATGGCGCCAGGATGCAACAGACCGCAGAATGAGAGCGTCGGGTCCTCACACAATCATTTGCTAGCGCTTTAAATTTTTCGCGATTTGCTCGTCAGCTTTGAATGAGATATTAGAAGGCAGTAACCTTGATAAGAAAAAGACAGCAGCCACTTTTTAAATTGCGAGCCAAAATAAAATAAGAAGCCTAACATACATGAAGTCAACGTGAATGTAAACAATAATAGAAATTGATTATTTCTTCATTCCTATTTCTATCCTCCACGACGTTAACTTATTAAAAACTTGTGAAAGTAAAGTACTCCAGTGAAAGTATTCACTTATCACTACTTGTTTAGGTCGCGCAATTTGGCACCAGGGAATTTCTCGGCCTATGGCTCTGATTTCTAAGCAAAACTGCATTGAACACTAACAAACGCACGGCGGTTTCGTCTTGCGTCAACAGTGATAAGAATAGTGAGTTACATAGCGCCCTGATTGCAACGAAATACACGAAGACCGTGTTAACGAGCATTAAAAACTAGTACGGTGTGAATACAGTTCTGATTACATGTGGCGCACCCTACTCAACTGGTGCTCTATTTGCTTCTAATGGACGTTCAATCATGAAGAAAGTGAGAGCGGGGGACAATCGATTTAGTTCTACCCAACGTTGACATACTAGACCGTGACTTTCTCTCGTTCTCTCTCTCTC